AAAATAATAAGAAATTATAAAAGTGAAGGAAACTCATGGTAACAATGTCTACTGTCAGAAGAATGACAATATAATTTATATTATGAAAGTTGAAAATCAGCACAATTATAAACCTGTTAAAAATATCGTTACTCTTGTGTCCAGTTATTAAAAGTTTTACTCTTAAAATATAAGATAATGTAAGGTTACTTGTAATATGTGATATATGGTCTGGTACAATAGTTAAAATTTTACAATACAAAAATCTGAGAATATATATTTATGATTGTGATATATATAACTTAATTAATCTACTTTGCTGTGAAAAAAATCAAGTTAAAAGTGACGCTAGTTTGATATATTTTAATTGCATAAAGTAACAGAATAAAAATCTTTCTTTTCATATTAATGTACAGTTTGAAGGACAAGATAATTGTCTCATATGACTTTGCTGGATGCATCTTAGCCAACAGGAATTATGAGCCCATTTTCATAATATTGTTCTCCTTGATATAACCACAAAAATCAACTGTTATTTGATAATTCTATACATCGTAATCCTAGTTACTAATTACAATTGCTCTTGCTTTATAGCAAAGCTATTTTGTTAAATAAGACTAAATAAAACTTTACATAGGTTTTCTGAAGTATACTTGATATAACAGATGAACTAAAAACTACACCTACTTTATATAAACACAGATTTCACAATAATTACTATAGTAAATGATTCTTGGCCAATAATAAAATACTATTTTTGCTTTTTTCATATTCAAAAGAATTTAGAAAAATATTTTTTGAGCAAATTTTGTAATGAAAAGTAGACAAAATTTTTTTAGTTTTTTGTCATGCACGAAATAATTGTGTAAAATCTATCTTCAAGAAAAAGTAGATCAAATTGATAACTGAATATACTAATGCCACAAATTATTTATAATATTATCTTTATCAGTGCCAAGTGACTTAGGTACTGTGTTTCACGTACCATGTATTCAATAGTAGGATACAAAGCATGCAGCATATTGAATTATATAATAGCATTATCAAAAATCATATTAACAGATTTTTATTTCTTATAGAGCTCAAATCTATAATCGAAAAGTTACTGTTGAGGGAAAAATAGTTCATTTATTTAAATGAAACTATTGGTCAGCTTCCTGTAAATCAAAATTAGAATTATCACAATTGTTATTTTAAAAAAGTGGATATTTTGTATTAACAGTATTTGACTTTAGCAATTCTTAAACTGTAATATCACAAGATAAATCACGGTATGCACTATCAATGCTAGAGAACTATTTTGAAGAACGAACTTGGGAAATAGATATAGTTTGAATTTCTTTATTTCTTTATAAATAATTTTTATTAACTCTTTTTTCTTATTGTAAATTATTTTGAATTCACCAAATAATATGTTTACTGAAGATATGTTCAATATTTGTTTTGTAGAACTTGAACAGCTAATTGCAAATCTTAATCTGACAAGAATCTATAAATTATAACATGTTTCTTCCATTAGTAAAAAGAGTGAACATTTTGTAATATTATATAACAATGATACTTATATTTGCATATATCTAATATTAATTAATTGTGAACTTGTATGTCATTATTTTTTTATGATGATGCTTATTTCATCGATTGCAAAATTTCATATTCGACTTGTATCGTAATGTTGATACACAGATTCATTAGTTATGACAGAAGATTTAAGTTTTCTTCATAATCCAACAATTTCAACAACTTTAGATGAAAAATTTGATGCAGTGAAGCATTCTACTAAAGTTACAGAAGTCAACTTTTTGCACTTAGAAGTTATCCAAGATAACTACATTTTTACAAAAGAAGTATGTGGAGAAATGTCTACAAAGCAACAATACGAAAAAAGATTTGGTATTATAAAGAAAGTATTAAGTCTGGCTATTGCTATAAATAAATCAAATAAACTTTATAAAGTTCATTTAAATTTTATTGAGGAAATGGAAGCAGAAATTATTGATCAAGCTGTGAATAGAAATATCATCGAATTTGTATTTACTATCAACAACTCCATTATTATCAGAAAAAAAAGCTGAAAGTTCAAAAATTCACATGTTATTGTAAGTCACAAGAGAAAAGTAAAAAAGATTTCTGATAAGAATATTCAGATACTCAAAGATTTCAATTGTATAAATATAAATCAAGATAAAAAAAGATTCAATAAAAATGATGATAATGATGTAGATCATAAGGAGACCTTCAAACTTGAAACTTATGTGAAATTATCATATAAAAAACTTCGAAAAATATTAAACTACATAATAAATAATTTGATAAATAAGAAAATATATAGTGTTTGTAGTGAGATAAATCATAATACATGAACATGTTTGCAAAGAAATTACCACTAGTTAATTTTGGAACTGATGATAAGAAAGAAAAAACTTAAGTTTAAAGAAAAAATATTTATAATATATGATATAATATACATGTATATAAATAGTTTATAAAGTATATTTTATTAATAAAAATAAATCATATACCTTATTTTTATTAGCCAAAACAAATCATATTTTACAAATAAAAAATAAATTATATATCATATTTTTATTGACTAAAACAAATCATATGCTATTGGTATAATTTAAAATATCAATAATTAATTATGTCAATGATAATTAGTTATAATTAATTATATCAGTTATAATTAATTATAATTAATCATATCTGTTGAAATAATTATGTCAATTAAAATAATTATATTATATTTGTTAAAATTATTTGTCATATTATATCTATTATAATTATACATGTTTTCAAAATTAATTTCTGATTTTTGAAATATTTTATTTTTTTAAGATTTATTCAAAATTTATTTTATATATAGAAGTAAAAAAAAATACTATATTAAATGTATCTTTAATCAAGAAATTTATCTAGGTAGTTAAAAAATTTCAGATTTTAAATAAAATAATTTTACTTTTTATGAAAAACTAATTTAACTTTTTTTTTTAAAATTGCAATTTCAGAATTTCAAAATAATTTTATATACAAGTATAATTATAATTATACTTCACAGTAAAATAATTATGTCAATTATATCAATTAGTAAAACAATTATTTTAAATTATGTCCACAAATTATTTTACTTAGTAATACTTATAAAAAATTATGTTAAATAAGTATAGTTATAATAACCTAAATTAAATTAATTTAAACAAATATTATATTAATAACTAATAAATTTATATAATAATAACTTAATTAAAATTTAATAAAATTTAATAAATAAAAATATTATTCTATAATAATTATACTTTTTTTCTAATTAATAAATTTGAGACAAGATCTTGTTGAAACAAAAAAAAAATTCTATAATAATTATAATAATTTTTTTTTTTTAATTTTTCTTAATTTAAATATAGTTACTATGAAAAATTTACAATTCCAGTAGTTAATAATATATTTTTTAGCCAAGAAACTTTAACAACTTGTAATCTTTATCTATTGTAGTGAATTGTTATAAATTGATATTGCAAATAAAAAATTTTAAGTTTTTATTTTTTAATATATTTTGAATATAATGAAAAATAAGAGATCAATTATAATGGAAGTTTTTTTAATTAATGACAATTTATATAATCAACATAAATTGTAATTAACTAAAATTATTAAAATAGTCATATAATACTAAAGCAAAAGTTTTGTTTTTAGACTTTAAATTATTAAATAACTATTGATATATTAAAAATATGTTTTTATTATTGCAGACTCTTTATAAGTTAAAAAGAAAATAATAAATAACAATATAAAATATATTAATATATTAATATAATATAAATATTCATATTTTTATTTCAAATATTTTAAAGTTTTCTTTATTTTTAAAATGAAAAAAAAGTATATATAATTATTATAATGTCAAGTTTTTAACAAAAATTCTTAACAAAAGATAATAAAAAAATAAAACAGGTTAAAAATATATATATATTAATTATTTTGTTTAATAATATATTTTAATTAGTGCCAAATTAGCAAAGACTATATATCCATGATATATCTTTTTGTGTATTCATATGAAAAATTTTGTAACAAGATCATCAATAGTGACAAAAGGTATTGTTTTTGATATATTTATGGTTATTTTTTTAATATATCAAATTTCATGTGACAAAATAGTTATTTTTTTTTTGATGCATCTATAAATAAAACAATTATAAACATATCAAAAAAATGACCATTTTTGTCACACGTATTTGATGTATCAAAAAATAACCATAGGTGTCTCAAAAACGATACTTTAGCTCAATAGGAATGCTGGATCTTACTGTGTAACCCTCCAGTTGGACCTTTGCATGCCACGTGACAAATACACCAAATTTTTTTGATTTAACGTTTACGCATCTAAATACTACAAATTTTTTTGGAGGTTTACAGCATAACACGGCAGAAGATACTAACAGCAAAGTTAAGTTATTATTACTCTACAGCACTGTGTTATCGGTCACGCACAGCCCTACTGGCGTATTGGCCATCTACTACGTATTTGCTCCTGCGTTCAGGTGTTTGGAAGCATCCTGTTGGATCCCCCTTGGTGCATGCGTGTTCAAGAGCTGTTCGGACATGTTGCTTTCCCAGCGCTGTGTCATGTATACCTACTGGCGTATTGGCCATCTACTACGTATTTGCTCCTGCGTCAGGTGTTTGGGAGCATCCTGTTGGATCCCCCTTGGTACATGCGTGTCCAAGGGCTGATCTGACATGTTGCTTTCCAGTATACTGTTGACTGTGTATTCTTCTCCCCAACAAAGTTAATCTTGTTACTTATCATGCACACAGCAAATTAATTACTGGCTCGTTTTCTTTTCAGGATGTTTGTTTCCATTATCGAAGAATATTTTAACACAGCACAATACAGCAATTGGTCAATTCCATCTGTCTTGAAATATGTGGAATCCAAGTACTATCTATATGTTGATGATATCAGTATCCTTAAGAATGAGATCTACGCAGTGCTACAACGCCACCAGAATCGAGCGAATATGCAACAAAGGGCTGTTAGCAAACTGGAGAAGCTTTTGAACAATTACGATAAGCTTTTCAGTGCAAAAGAGATCGAACAATTTATCAATGACCTTAAAAGAAAAGAGGAGGAGAAGGATCTCTACACATCTGTACGTCGAAACATGACTGTTGCCTACAACGTGGAAGCAGAAAAAGATTATCACCAGAATAAGGCGATGTTAAGGAAATTACATGATGATGAAGATCAGGTCAGTAGGGCGAGTAGCTTGTGCTTCATAAATTTGCTGGCTGCATACATTTTTGATTAATAAATTAAAATTTTTATATCATATAGGAACGACCAGGAAAGCGACACAGAAAGGCAAGTAGATTTCTATATCATTCTAGCAAAACATTATAATATATATTTAGTAATGATATTGAATGCAATATAGGATGAAATCGCAAGTGATGTTGTATCAGATGCCTCTGACCTTTGTGATGATCAAATGCGTGAGTTGGTGAGTTCAGTATGATATTTGGTAATTTGTTCATGTGTTGTCACTCTTGACTTCTTACTGTTTTGAAATAGGATGATATAGAAGAACTTGAAGCATCTGGAAATAAAAGAAAGGACTGCCCTGAGGAGAAGTGGACTCTTTCCACAGGGAAAGATGTTTATGTGGTTTTAAATGAGTTCAGATCAAAAATCCGACCAACAAAGGCTCATCTATAGTAAATATCTCAAATTGTGCTGTTCCTTAAGTTACACAATTATTTATATATTGGATTTTCTTTATCAGTCCTGCGTACTTTGGGATTCTTGATCTGTCTGGTGAAGAACCTGAAGTTAAGGAATTGTTTACCATCGAAGAATGGGCTGAAATGCAGGAAGACTTCAGCAAGACAGTGATGCTTACGGAAATGGACTCAAAGGAAGAGGAGTTACTCTATAACTTGTTTGACAAAATCGAAGAGGTATATTAATATGTTCTACGTTTGGGATTTATTCTCTATGTGATATGGTTGGTTGATGTTTTATTTTATCCAGGTGCTTAAGAGAAAATCAGATGATATCATTACAGATATAGAAGAATGCATCATTAAGGTATATTTCATTTGAATATAATCTATTAAAAAAAATCATTCTGAATTTTGAAACGTGTATTTTCACTTTAGGGATATCCAAAAATAAATGTAATACGGAGACTGATACAGACATAGTAAGGTTTCCTCAATGTTTGTTTTTACATTACCATTATTATTTATTTATCTCACTATTATTTATCAAATATTCACAATACAATATGCAGTTCCTACAACCTGGATCGATTAAAAGTATCTATGTCAGAAGGTTCTTTCTCAAATAACTTCACTAATATGATGACAAAAGGCATTATCACTTACAATCGAAAATGTGCCTATGATGAGTAAGTGTGTTTTCTTATTTCTTTTTTTCCTGAAAGTATGAAAATATTTTTCTCCACTCATTATCATTCCTAGAGGAGAAATTCAGAGTCTTTCATCAGCAATGATTGCAAACCTGAATAAAAAACCGGTCGACAGATCATTAATTGGGCAACGTTGTGACTTCAGAATTACCTGTGATGGCTTTGAGTCAGTTATTGGACTGCGATCAGGAGGGTTACCAGAAGCCTGTCATTCAAAAAAATGGACTGATAAGGTTGATCTTATGGTTGCCATGCGAGATGTCTTGCTTAAGGAAGCAATAGAGGACAATGGTGTAGAATGTAAAGACTTTAGGAATTTGTATACACTTGGTGTACATTCTTATGGTAAGGCTTGTATTATGGATTTTGTATATACTGTACAAAAACATTGGTGTCTGAGCAATTTTATGGGATGTTAGGTTTCTATTACAACTTGTATGCACTGGATTGGAAAGCAAAAGGTCTATGGCGTTTAGGCCTTTTAAAAAAAATAAAACTACCTCAGTCAAATGACCAATTACTAATGATTGAAAAGTTGACAACATTGCTGTTGCGAATTGAGGTTTGCCTTTTACCATTCTACTGGTTGTTTCAATGAAAACTTTATCTAATTTTTTTTCTAATTTTTTTTATATAGTCAACATTAGACTATATTATGCCTATTCGAAATGAACTAGCAGTCAAAGCATCACGGTTGCATCGAAACCGGCGAAGTTCAATTTGTCTCAAACCATACACTTTTGCTGAGCAAGGACGTATACGACGCACACGCATTCAAAGAGATAGTTAAGCTTTTCTCTATCATTAACTGTTGTTATGTTTACTATGTTTGGAATATCAAAATAGTGTACAGTAATGGATATATGTGTTATTCTGAATAAAGGTTTAAGAATAAAAACAACTAAAAATTGACATTGGATCCACATTATGTTGGTGATATACTTGTTAATGTTAAGTAATTATTAATCTGGTTTTATGTTTACTTTTTCTGGTTTGGTTGTCTAGAATACAATTGCATTTTTCACACTGACATTCAGGAAAAAAACTTCTAGTTAATATAATAAAAATAAAAACTAAGATCTAAATCTGGGTGAATAGGTGATGGTGAATATTTTAGTGAAAAAACACAAAATAGAAATTTAGTATGTAAATTACATAAAAATAAAACTTAGAATTCATGCAAAAATTACAACTTTATTGATATATATCTTTTGCACTATTACAAATAGCTCATAAAATATATTATAATAAATCTCAAAATATCCATGCAGAAACTAAACATGATTAATTGTGTGAAATCGAGCCACCAGGGCTAGCTTTATTGATACAGCAAATAAAAATAAATTTGGACAAGAAAAAATATGTATCGATTCCTTTATTGTTACAAATAAAATATAAAGCATATAGATGCCATACATATATTGGAATAAAAATAGTTTAAAAAAATTATATACCATTTGATATTTTTTTGTATACGATGTTTTTTAATTTCACGTTCATTAAACATCGTAATCCTATCCTTTAATAAACTCACGATTATCTAACCACTTTTTTAACACCCTTCCTGATTCAAGATCCTCCTTCAATGCCGTTTTGGATAATTAATTCGATATTCACTTTTGCTGGTGCAATATAACCCCTCTGCTCAGAGTTTGATAGAAAAAAAATGAATAATAATCAGAAGGCGCATAATAGCATAAGCTACCAGGGTAAAATCTGTGATAGAGACATTGGTGGTACTATTTATACCTGTAGAGACTATCCCGTAAAGATAATCGTCATCATCATTTTGAAATGTCTGCTCTGTAATTTGTTTTCTTTTATTCATATGGCTTGCACTTTCTAGTTTGGAGGTACCCAATTTCAACATTACGAGTTTTTCCCTCGGCTATACATATAAGATCTTCATACCCTTTGATTGAATAATCAACATGCCCAGAGGTATATCTTCGCCAGATACGTCATCTTGGTATGCAATATATATTTTTTTTATCATTGATAAGTTTTCGAGTAATTGCTATCAATGCATTTAGGATAGATGTAATAAAAACACAACGGGTTGCTTCATTGGTACTGTCTTGCATGGTTTTCATATTCGAGTCCTAATATTATTTCTTATTATTATCAGCGATTTCTTCGAATACTGTAGAAAAGAAATTATTAAATGGCAGGAATTAAAAAAAATAACTTTATATAAAATTGAGTATTATTTACCTGGACTGAATTGTTTTATACATGTAATTTTTCCACCATTGACTTTATATTTACGAAGTACCTCCTTAAAAGGGACGCAATTTTGTTTCATTAAGCCTCTCAACAAATTCTGCAAGTCTTTTTGCAGGACCAGCTTTCAAACAATAACTACGTAATTCCTCTTTAGTTGTTTTAAGAAAGTCAAAACCTGAAATTCTTTCATCACGAAATATTTTAAAATCTGATTCAATAAGATCCACATTTTCTTGCCTTCGTAAAAAATGATAAGTTCTTCTGTTTTATAATCTTTAATAACATCACCTATGGTACGAGTTATTACTTCTTCGTCAGATAATATAGACAAAGGTGGATACTGGTTTTGAAGACATGATCGCTTTATAGGTATTGAATTTTTTATCGCAAACAATGAATTACTGCAAGATAGAAAAAAAATAGATATGTTAATGAGAAAAAAATTTTACAATCCGGTTTGTGTGGAAAATATAATACAATATCTGATATTGAAAATACTTAATTATAAATAATTTTAATTGATATTTAATTAAACTTTTAATTTCAATAATTATTTAAATTTGTAATATAACAATAATATACAATTGATCTAAAATAATGTTTAATTAAGCTTGAAATTCCCTGTTGTATGAAATTGATTTAAAAGATTTTAATAAAAACAGGTTCTTAATAATACATATTCTGGGCAATTGCAATAGCACCGAGGAAAAGTAAAAATGAATTCTCTTATATAGTCAAGGGGAAATTATACTTTAACAGCATACTGATCAATTTTCAGGGAAAAATAAGTAACAGTAACGTAATACTAACCCTTGCAGCTCAACAAATCATTCAAGACCTCAAATTACAATTTTTTTTAAATAAAGTCAAAGTCCACTCGGGTATCGAATACAACGAGACAACGAGATAGTGGATCGCTTGGTTAGCATCAAGATCCACAAATTAATATTTAACAGTTGCACATTACTATGGTCACGAGCAGTATTGTCACCGGACGCGGACGCAGACATTGTCCGGGACAAAATTGGGACGCTTTATGTCCGGGATGATTGACATCACATGTATTCGAAGTGGCCAATCACAGTAGGTTATTTATTTCTTTAATAACTATAAAAAATATAATTTGATCGCGAAATATATTTGCCAAAAACTAGCGGAAAGAAATGAACTTTGATACTATACAAGTAAATGATGCCTTTTAAAATAATAACTGTTTTTAATTAAGTTTATCTAATTTTTAAATATTTTTAGAATATGTTATTAAAAAAAATCCATTCAGTCATTTTTTGGGAGAAGGATATGATTTTTGTTACTGGCAAATATTTATAAGAATTAAAAAAACTGGGATATATAATTTAGGAGTAGATTTAAAGATCCGTTCAAAAAAAAAAAATTCCGAAATAATCTCTTCCAGCAATGATATTATTATATATAATTTGTATTATCCAAAAATAATATTTTGTATTATTATTTTTTTCCGTATACACAAAAAAAAATCACTCGACATATTCGACCTTCAAAAAACATGGAACAATAAAATTTGAACAATCTCAAAGTCTCTCTATATGTTCATCTAGCAAGCAGAAAATAGAAATAAAATAGATAAAAACTATTGAAATGTCGTATTCCTTATCTATTACTGTCTTTTATATAAATTTTAATGAAGGTAAGTTTCAATATTCAATATTGTAAAATAATTATAATATTCATAAATGTAATAATGTATTATATAATTATTATTAATCTAGGTTGCATGATTCATAGTTTAAATCCACGATGAAGGGCGAAGGAAATTGCCACGAAAAAATAATAACTCTTTGAGATGTTAAGATCAACTGGTTCTGACTGGACGTATGAACAAGAAGTTAAATTACTTGTAAAAATATTATTATCTGAACTTAATTTATGGATTCTATTAATATTACTGATGATTTTTTAATTGTTATTTTTTTAAATGAACGAAAAAAGTTTTGTTACAGATTTAGATCCTAATTTAATTCCGGAATATCATTTGCCTATGGAAACGAAGATACAATTACTTTGAGGCTGATGAAGAGAATTATTTGAATAATAGTTTTGATGAAGGAGATGAAAAAATATTATTTAATTCTTTTATAGATTGATGGAGGGAGGAGGAAATTGTCATGAAAAAATATGATGTTAAGATCAACTGGTTCTAACTGGACATATGAACAAGAGACTAAATTACTTGTGAGATTTTTATTGTCCGAACTTAATTTATAAATTCTATTAATATTACCAATGATTTTTTTTAATTATATATTATTTTTTTAAATAAACGAAAAAGGTTTTGTTGCAGATTTGGATCCTAATTCAATTCCGGAATATCATCTGTCTATGAAGACGAAGATACAATTACTTTGAGGCTGATGAAGAGAATTATTTAATTCTTTATAGATTTATTTATTAAAGTAAGATGAACGATTACATATTTTTATCCTGTTTTTTTTATTAACAAATTATTTGTGATTTTTATTAATTAATTATTATATTATTATTATTATTATTTATTATTATATTAAGTAAATAGATTAATAGAAATTATTATATTATTATTTTACTATTAAAATGGAAAATCTAACTTATTAAAAAAAGTTGATAATTTCTATTTAGCATTCAAGTCAATTGCAGAGTGAGTAATATTTTCTGTTTCATCATCATCAATTTCTTCAAGTTCATTTATACCTTTTTTTTTCCTCTTCTAACATATTTATCCATTCTTGAAGATAATTTCCAAAGTCATTTTCTAAACTACTTTCTTTCATATTGATAAATTCCATTTCCTCATCAATATCTTCAGAAATAAATGAATCTTGACTTTCATATAGTGGATTTTCTTCATCATCTTGTTCATCGGTTTGTTCATTTTCGTTGTTTTCATCAGTTATTATTTGTTCTGTTTCATAACATCGTGATAATTCAACCTCAGATATTATAGTATGTGCAGTTATTTCTGAAATTTTTTTTTGAAGCTGATGACTATAAGTTATATCAGCTTGTAATTTACTCATCTCAAGGATTTTGATATTCTATATTATAATTAAATTAATTATAATATTAAATAAAAAAATTTAATAGAAATTTTTTTTTATTTAATCTGATTATATAATTAAATTTTTTTATTAAATAATTAATTAAATAAACATTTTGTTTTTGTTTTTTTTATAATTATTGAATAATTATTATGTAATTAATTAAACTTTTTATATAATCATTATATCATTATATAATTAAATAAACTTTTTTCTATAATTATTCTATAATTATTATATAATCAATTAAATACTTACTGATAATCTATTACATTTATATGATTGCAAAAAACCTATGCAACTCCATAATCGTTCTATAGAAGTAGCATTGACACAGATTCTAAAAATTCTACAAGCCACAAATCCAAGCTCATTAGTGGAAGCACAGGCAAAACTCCAATATCTATAAATATCTCCACTAAATTGATTCCATGTAGTTAAATCAAATGGATAGATTCCTAAACGAAAGTTTTCTAATTCCCAAAGAATAAATTTTGAATATTCTCCTGTCCAAGCACGATAATAGTATCCTAACCAAGGATCAATTGTTGTATAATTAATACTAGTATTATTAAATATTTTTATACGATAATTAGGATGCAATAAATATGACATGCAATAATTAAAATTGGTTATTCTCATTCTTTCCACCATTTTTTCAATTGTGCAACTAATTGACTACTTAAATTTGAATTAGAATTTGTATTTCATAATTGAGCAATGTAACCAAAACTATGAATTACTTCGTGTAAACGTGCTTTGTCACTTTGTAATGTATCTAGAATCTTACAATATGGATATAAAATATCAATTAAAAGTTTAAGATTTTTCCAAAAAAATGTAGAACCAATTATTTCATAAATATCATTTTTTAAAGTTAATTCATCTCCTGCATATTTTCTAGTTTCTATAACTGGTGGTTCAAACTTGATTGCTAAAATCTAAGTAAAAAATTATATTTTTTTTTAATATTTTTTTTTTAATAATTAAATATAATTAAATTTACCTGTAATGCTTTTGTGTCTTTAAAATACTCGTACAAATATAATAATAACTGTTCTACTGAGTTTCTCCAGGTGCAACAATTGCAAAATATTTATTATATTCTTCATATTGTTGATCTTTTAATTTTGAAACAAAAAATTTATTGTTCGAATTTTTAAAAAAAGATGCAAGCCGTATTGCCTTATCTATTAATTCTTTGAATTCAATGGATTCTTTAAATATTTCACCAATACAAAGATTTACTTGATGAGCAAAACGTGGAAAAAAAATTATTGATCTATTTTTAATTTTTAATCGGCATCTATATTATAAATTTTAATTAAAATAGTTATTAAAACAATAAAAATAATAAAAA